CAAGAGGAATCTTTCCATTGATTTAGAGCTTTTTTAGCCAAATTGGGAAACCAGAGAGTTGGACATAATAAGCAAATGATGAAACACAGTTTTCTATAATGTTTTTTAAAGTTCAAATCAACAAAGTCTGCAGCTTCACCTTCCTCCATTTTTTTTTCTACGAATACTTTCAATGCAGATACCAAAATTAACTAAACATATTGTGTAGTTGAAATAAATATGCATATCTTCTTCTCTTTGAAACAATGAACTGTTCTCTTACCATGAAAAACATTTAAAAGAGTTGGCAGACAGAATTTAAAGTAGAAAAAAGACAGTCCAGAGGGAACGCGCTAACTGAGCAAGGTCATATTCACTTTTTCAAGTCGTCGTAATTCAACATCTAAGAATATTGGTTAAATACCTTTTTTGGCCTTCTACTATTGAAAAAAGTCTTTTTTTGATCTTTATATTGAAAAAATCTCTTTTTTTATTCTTAAATTTTAAAATCCGACCCCTTTTTGATCCCTCTGTTAAATTTTTGCTTATCTAGCATGTTAATTAACAGAAACTGCTAATGTGGATATTACACAGTGTAAAAATGCTTATGTGGACTTAATATAACCCCTCCATGTCAGTCTCTTCGCATGAAAAAAAAACTTAATTGATAGGACCCACATTCTGCAACTCTCCTTTCTTTGTTTTTCCAATTTCTTTTAGATTCCTCCCTAGATATCATCTTCTTTCTTTCAAAAGTCTTGTTTCTCATTCATAATCAACTCTTTGCATGTGAAATTAGTTAAGATATAATTGAGAATTCATAAAATTATTTTCACAAAACCATTTTCATTGGTAAAAATAAAAATTAATTACTAATTAAAGTGATTTATTAATACTGTCAATCTTAACTTCTTCTCTGCAAAACAATCCTTCTCTTTACAGATTTTCAACTCTTTTTTTCTGTTGAACCTAAGTAATGAATGAATTAAGTCATGGAGTTCATAGCAACATGAACACAACAATATGAATCTATCCCCTGCAATTTCAAAGCCACATATCAAACACCATTTGGGTTTCGTAATCAACCCAGAACTTAATTTCTCTAATTGAAAAATGAATATGAAACTTTAGTTTCATTCGGCTCCATTATAGAATATGGATACATTCAAAATGAAAAAAAAAAAAAAACAAAAGAGGGTTTTTGGGTTTCTCATGGAACCCAGGAACCCAGGAACTGGGTTCCTTGCATGAAACCCAGATCTGGGTTCCTCGAGGAACCCAAGATGATGAAAGGGAAGGAAAGATGATGGTGATTACATGATGCCATGATGCCAAGGATGAGGATAAGGTCGAGGATAAGGATGAGGAGAAAGAAGAGTAAGAAATTAAAGCTAATTAAACTCATTTAATTCATTAATTAATAAATCAAAATTTTAATTTGTACATGTGGATAAATATTTAGATGAAATGCTTACATTGATTATAATTTTGTACACGTAATTTCCATATAATTTATAATTTTATATACGTAATTTTCACATAATTTATTATATCATTTATATAAAAAATAATCAAAAGATTCCATTAATTAACGTGCTAGATAAGCAAAAATTTAATGAAAAGATCAAAAATGAGATATTTTCAGTGCAGAGACCAAAAATAGATTTTTTTTAATAGTAGAAAGACCAAAAAAAGTATTTCACCAATAATATTTTATGGCAACCTAGAGGGTTCTGGGAATTTGATGTATGCGCAGAAATTACTTCCTCGAGTACATCTACAAATATATTTCTTTATGCACCCATGTGAAACATCAGCAGTCCCTTCAGGAGCAGCTTAATGGATTGTGCATTAGACTTTAAGGGCATGTTTGGAGTACCAGATAAGACAATTTATGTCTTGTGTCAGTATGTCTTATGTTTGGAGCGATTATGGGATAAAATAACTGCTATCTAATGTTTTGTCCTATTCTGAGTTCATAAGAAAATATCCCACCTACGCAGGGACGCAGGGACGCAGGGACGCAGCCAATGAAGGACGGGGGGAGGAGCCACCCCCCTAAACTTTTGAAAAATATTTAATATGGTACTCTAACCTTTATTTGTTAAAAATTTAGTTTTTATAATATGAATTTCAAGGGTCATTTCAAATGCAGCAAAAATATATAGGACATAAATAAAATGTTTTTCAAAAGTAAGGATATGATTTAAATAAAATGAACTTTATTACAATTTAGTTAATTAGGAATTGAGGTTTTTAAACATTTCTTTATCTATTAAACTCCAAAAATAAAACTTTGATTCTTTATTTAATTAATTTTAAATTCAAAATTTTCTTTAGTATCCTTTATTTTCTTTCTTAATATTCTATATAATAATTTAAAGTCTTTTTATGACATTGAGGTACACTTTTACTTTTCATGATTAAATTTATAATTATTTTTTGTGTTAAATCAATCAAAATTAGAGTCTACTTTCTAAAAGAAACACTCTAGTATTTTTTAATATTCTAGTATTTTTTTTTTATAATATTAGTGTTTATCAACATAACATTCAAAAAATTAGAAGAAAAATACCCTAAAATTATATCATTCAATAAAATCAAAACACCCTCATTTTTACTTTAAGAACATGCTGCTTCTGTCTTTTTTTAAGTGAGTTTATTGAAATAATATAATTTTGTAATGTTTTTCAACCTAATTTTTTTTAGAGATTTTGTTAATTAACACATTTCTCTTTTCTCATTCATTTATCAATTGATAGTTATATTATTTGTTATTATGATATTTTATTTTTTTATATAATAAATACATTTGTTTCTTATTTTTGTTAAGAATATATCAATAAAAAATAATAAGTAAATATTTTTATAAAAAAAATTAAAAAAAATAAATTAGTATCATAAAATATACTTCCTAGCTCCGTCCCTGCACCTACCCATGGATTTACTTAGGTTAAGATGTGATTTTTCATTTTTTGTCCTCATCTTTATCGCAACTTCTTTGATTTTGCATCTTTTATTCAAACATCAAAGATCATTTTAATAGCTAAATTGAAGATGGAATTCATTGGCGTTAATCACAGATTCACAGGTCATGGCAACAAATTTCTCAAGTGTCGACGGTATTCTACTTCTTATTAAACTCACCTCCCCATCTTCTTATCATGGCTTTTCTCACTAGCAAAATGCATTGGCCTTCACAAATCTGAGATAAGATGTCATTGGAGAAGATATGAACTTCACAGATCTTGATGTAAATGGACAATGGGATGAAAGAGGGCAGTGGGGGTAACTAACAACTGTTATTGATTTTAGTTCAACATTTGATTTTCTTTTTCACCCAATAATTCAATGAAGTCTCATTCTTTTTTTTTTTCTTTTTTTTTCTTTTTTTTTCTTTTTTGGTTATTTTCTTTATTTTTTAAATCACACCAACTAATTTTTTATGTAGAATTTAGTATTGATTTCAATTGAAATTTGGGTATGACTAACATGAATATTAGTTGGTTTTGTTATAGTTAATTTAGTATTTTAGCTATCTGGTTTCTAAGAAAACAAAGAAAAATTGATGATATTTGACTTGGAATTTTTTGATGTATTTGTTTGAGTAATTAATGATAATTTTTTTATTTTTAATAAATTTCTAACTTAATCGGCACTAAATTAATTGTTTATTATAAAAAGTAAATTAATTATTGTAAAACAAATTAAATAAGAGTAAAATGAAAAATAATTATAGTACTTTTAATGCAAGGGCATTTTAGTGTATACAAGTGAATATTTATATCTAATCCCACTTTATATGATGTTTAAACAAAATTTCATTTGATTCAAATATATTTTGTCCTATATAATCCAATCTAATCCAATCTTTTGAATCATATCTAATTCAATCCATTTCTAAATTCTAAACTTGTTTTAAAGAAAAAGAAGAAATCTTAAATTCAAACTTTAAATCAGTTAAAATGAGATTTATAACAAAAGTGGTAATATTTAATTTTACAATTTGTTTTTTCTAAAGAGCTTTGCTGGTTTATTAAAGGACTTTATAAAGTATGAACTTGCTTGCAGGCCACAGAGGAAGATGCACGTGAGGACAAGGAGATGAAGATGTGCATATGTTGATTTGCTTTGTTTATCGTATAGGAGTAAATTGCCCATGACTTTACAAATCAGATTGACCCGTGTCCTCCACTATGTATTGAAAAATGAAGATTGTTCATGGGATTAATTCATACGGTCATGACGTTCCAAGTCAGCATGACCCGTGTTCTACACAATATATTAAAAAATGAAGATTGTTTGGCACCAGACAAAACCAGTCAAAGGAGAAAAGCTCCGCTTCCATGGATAGCAAGCAAAGCTCGTAAAACGGTCTTATTTTTCACTTCTTTTTCCACCTTTATTTCCAGGTAGACTTTTTAGTCTTTCCTTCCACATTAATTAAGAAATTTCCTGGTTATAAACTCTGTCATTATCTTCAATCTAGCTTGTCATAACATAGGCATCATCCTACCGTGCCACCTGTGGAATCAGAATGGATTAACCGGACGATCGTAGCCATCACATAATTCATACATACAGCTAAATACTTCTTAGTTATTATAGGAGAGAAAGGTATTACTGCACAAGACATAATAGCTCCGTCCTACACGGTAGAAGAGTTCTTTTCAAGGAATCATCGGAGTAAATTGATGCAAAGAAGTTGAAAAGTCGTCGAAGTCTTTTAAGTCAACCAAATGCATTGTCTAGCAGTTTCTTTGAATTATCTTCACAGCCAATTGCTTTTCATTCAGGCACTTACATACCATATCAATTCTTATTTTCCCTCCAGAGTCCAGACCAACCACATCTTGAAATTCACCCATGAATCCCACCAGTTCCTCATCCATTTGCAACCTCTTCATCCCCATCTTCTCATTTTCCTTCCTCTGTTTCATCTGAGAAAATGCATCCCCTTCACTTCCGTGGGTCTTTCATCTTCATCATCATCATCATCATCACCTTCGTCTTGATCCATGCCCCTAAATTTGCATCCTCTGTGGATGAACGTTATGCGAACTGTAACAGGACCATCGCCTGTGGAAACATTGAGAATATTGGCTATCCTTTCTGGGGTTCAGGCAGGCCGGACTACTGTGGCTTGCCTGGCTTCCAGCTGAACTGCAGCGACTCAATCCTGGAGATCACAATCATGTCAGCAACATACCACGTCCTTCGAATCAACAACGAGTCCCAGTTTCTCAACGTGGCCAGAGCCGATTATCTAGAAAACCTCTGCCCCGCCTTCCTAATCAACACCACTCTGAATCCTGACCTCTTTGAATTTACTTCCGATACTCAGTTTATAAACCTCTATTATCATTGCCCCCCTCTTCCTCCTTCTCCTCCAACTCCAATACCAAAGTGCTCCAGTCATTTTACTTGTAATGTAAACGAAACCACCTTCGATGGCTATTACCTCACCAGAAATCTCAGTGAGTTGCCCGACCTGGCTCCTTTTGCGCCTCTAATCAGTGAATTCTTGGGTAGATGCGGTGACAGGGTTGTTCTGGCCGCAAACCAATCCGAAATCCAGTCCGTGGAGGCAAGTCCGAGCGGGGAAAATCTGGTTGAAGCTCTTGCAAAAGGATTTGGGTTGCACTGGAAGGCAAATAATAGCTTGTGTGATCCGTGCAGAGGCTCCGGCGGGCAATGTGGGTATAATAACGTTTCGAATAAATTTTCTTGTTACTGCTCAGATCGGCCCTATGATACCGTTTGTCTTTGTCCTACGCCTACAGCTACAGTTACAGGTAAGTTTGTTACTTCTCTTTAGTAATAGCCTCATAGTACGGTTATTTGTTTATCATATTAAAATTCGAGATTTCA